GTGTGTGTGTGTGTGTGTGTGTGTGTGTGTGTGTGTGTGTGTGTGTGGCCCTGAAATGTTTTATAAATATTTATGCACTCACAAGGGCTGCTTAACGTGGCTGCTTACTCCTACCAATGTATGCTGGGAATTTGTAGGATGTATACTGTCTATCTTTTATAGTAGACAAAAATAGAGAAGACTTTTCTATTTGTTCCTCAGAGGAAAGTCTACAAGTCCAATCCCATGAGACCCAACCTTGCAGCACCTACAGTATTTGCCAGTGTCAGTCAAAGGAAACTTCTGGTGTGGGGTAATATTTTTAAAGTATTTCCTGAAGTAAAAATGGAAAACTCTGAGGTTGCCTACAGAGATTTTCCTTGGAGGAGGGCTGGGAGTGGGCAATGGAGAGAGGGCATTATGTATTTTAAGAGTATTTACATTTCTCCAAGGGAAATGGGGCTTTAGAGAATGTGCATGCTAGCTGAGATGAAAAGCACCACCAGCCTAAACTGTTGTATTAGGGAATGGCCACATAAATGCTTGCGGGGCAGCCTGGAATGGAGGGACAGACACCTGGAGGGATAGACAGGATGGAAGTGAGGACCAGACACTTGTGGGGACAGCATGAAAGTAAGGACTAGATACCAGGGGGACACAGCGTGGGAGCTAGGGACACAGATGCCTGGGGGACAGCGTGGAAGTTAGGGACAGACACCTGGGGACCCAGGCATGGAACCAAGAGGCCAGGAAGCCCACAGCCCCACCCGAGTGCCCACCTGTCTCTTTTGCTGCAGATCACTCTGTAGCTGTTTCATGTACCAGTCACTGTTCTGGGTCTGCAGCCCTCGGAGGCCCAGGGCCGGTGCCTGCAGAGCCTTGAGCAGGGTCAGTGCACAGCCCTGCTCTAAAGCCAGGCTGATGTTGGCCAGGGCAGAAGATGCTGAGGGGAGAGCAAAGGGTTAAAACCATCTGACAATAACACAACAGCCTAGAGATTCTTCCTTCCCCCAGACAACCTCAGCTCCAGACTGTGCAAACAGCCCAGTCCTAGGGCTGCCATGGCTCAGGAGCTCAAGAGTCTAGAGCCAGAGAACCTGAATGCCATTCAGTGGAGGATCTCTCTCCAAGCAGACCGGCCCTCAGTCTACAGACTCCTGCCACATTCCAGGCCGACTTAAAAGCTTCCAGCTGTGAATGGCTTGGCACCAATATTGCCCCACTGAACCAGACATATGCAATGCCTACAATATTCAAAATACCGTCTTTTTCCAGTGAAGCTTCCAAACTGTGAAAAGCACACAGAACTCTGGAGTTCCCACTGAATTCACCCAGTTCTCTCTGTGATAGAACACACCTCACTAACAGCCTTAGGGATTAAAAAAAAAATCTTCTTTGGGGCTGGGGTGTAACTCAGCGGTTCAGTGCTTGCCCTGGGTTCCAATCCTAGCAGCACAAAGGAAAAAGTAGAACCAGCTACCCTCCTGCCTTATATTTCTAACTTGGGGCAATACTTACTGTTGACTTTGTTGACATTCCCTTGGATTTCGGCCTGTGTGAGCAGTTCCTCATAAACGTCCCTTTCTCTGTCAGAGTTTTCCGTCTGAGGGTGAATGAAGACAGCAGAGATGAGCCCAGGTCTTTGGAGAGCCCAGAGAAGTATGTGTGGCTTCCTCCCACCCCATCATTATGACAAAACCAAGAACAAGTCTAAGTATGGAATTCAGACCTTCTGTAAGTGACAAAGTTACATGACTATACCTAAAAACACAAGACCCAGGTCCGCTTGGTACAAGCAGTAAGGGTCCCTGCACAGTGAAGCCAGGAGCCAGGAAGGAAGCCCTGGAGGAACCACCCTGCCTACTAAGCTCAGTGGGCTGAAATGGCATCCTCGCCTGAGAGCAGAGGGCTTCTGTGGGTACCAGGCTGGGAGCCTCTCCCTGGAGGTACAGGCCTTACCTCCTGCCTGCAAGCCTGTTCAGCACTTACTTTGGGGCTTAAATTCCTTGCTCTATAATAAAGACGTCACTGACGCCAAGGACTAAAAGAATGTATGTGGAGTCTTTGTTCGTTTATTACGGTTGTATACAGGTATGATGGAGGGGTGAGTGTGGTGTGTATGTGTGGCAGTCAGAGAACACTCCTGTGGAGTTGGTTCACTCCTTTCACCTTTAACATGGGTTCTAGTCATCTCATCAGCCCTTGCTTTTGTTTTGAAATAGAGCCTTACTATGAATCCCTGGCTGTCCTGGAACTCACTCTGTAGACTGGGCTGGGCTCAAACTCACAGAGACCTGCCTGCCTCTGCCTCCCCAGTGCCGGGATCAATGGCATGCACACAGAGGTTTGGTTTTTGAGACAGGGTCTCATCTGTAGTTCAGGCTGGCCTACAATTACTGACAGGAATCATTCAGCTAACTTCCACATACTTATAACAATAGTAAGAGTACATTTCATCCCAGAGAAGCAAATGGAGAAGGACTATATCATTATCACATCATCTTTCAAAAGAAAACTATTCAAATTGGTGTTTGTTTGTTTGTTTGTTGGTTGGTTTTTCGAGACAGGGTTTCTCTGTATAGCCCTGGCTGTCCTGGAACTCACTCTGTAGACCAGGCTGGCCTCGAACTCAGAAATCCACCTGCCTCTGCCTCCCAAGTGCTGGGATTAAAGGCGTGCGCCACCACCGCCCGGCTCTCAAATTGATTTTAAATAACCACATACAAGTGGACAAGAAAAGACTTCAATATCAGAAGACTATGTACTAAGCAATTCCGTTTATGAAATTTTACATTCTAGAGAAGGTAGAATGTAGTGAGAAAGAAAACAGACTGGGGCCTGGCATACTGGCTCTTGCCTTTAACCTCCACACTCAGGAGGCAGAGACAGGCGGATTCCTGAGTTCAAGGACAGCCTGGTCACAGAATGAGTTCAAGGACAGCCATGACTACACGGAGAAACCCTTTCTCATAAAAAGAAAACAGAGACTGGTAGCTGCCTGGAGTGGGGGTGGGGAGGCAGACTGATGGCATGCGGGCAGCAGGAACTCTTGGCAGGGACAATTAATAAACACATACACATCTATTGACGCTCAACTGTACACCCAAAATGGCCAACTGTACTGTGCCTACACTACATCTCAAGAAAATGGCTTCTAAAATGCAGATTTACCAAACATGGAAGAGCACAAGTCAATTAAAAGGATGCTGCATTTGTACCCTGTTTTTAGCATTTGTCATCTTGTCCTGCTTGGCCTGGTAAAGCACATCCTGGTAGGTGGAAGTCAGGGCTTCTTCAAGATTGACGAGCATGGCATTGGGGTTTTTTAGAGCCGTAAATGTGTCAGCCGCAACTCTGTGGTCAATAGCTTCATTGATAGCAATAACAGCAGCGTGTACTAAAAAAAACAAAGAAACTAAATCAAGACACAGCATAGTGAGATTATAGATGGTAACGGGTACACACTATACAGACAAAATGATATTGCAACCAGCCGTCACAGAGATAGTAGACCCCTTGCCCAGAGCTAGAGGGGCAGCTGGCCCTCCACCCACCATCTCCTCCTTGGCACACAGCAGGCAGTTCACCTAAAATCCACTGGAATTTTCACCATGCTGAATATTCATAATATACCCTGGCCACATGTATTTGCTATGAAAGAATGTTCATCCTGAATTATGTACAAATACCATAAGAGAAAGAGCCTCAAAGGGCACCAAAATGCAGGGCCTTTAATAAAAATGTCTTTAATAAAAATTGATAATCTATTTCCAAACAACCGTAGCATAGACTAGAGCAGTGCCTACACTATCCATAGAGCAAAGACTGCTAGCAAAGCTGCTTGTGCCGAGACCCCAGCACAGCGTAACCACCTTGAGCAAGCCCCATTTCAGCCCAGAAAAGTTCCCCTCTTACACGCAGCCTCATCCACTGAGAGTTCATTGGCCAGGATGCCCCCGATCTTGCTAAAGGCAGGCATCTGGATCCCATACTTTTCTAGCTCAATCTTCATGTTGTTGATTTCTTCTTCTGCAGAAAAGAATGAAGACCTGGTCAAGCAAGTTAAGCACCTTTTCATAACTCAAAGGGATAAAATGGCCTCTGCCTGTAACTAAGGATTAAGAAAATACTGTAGGGAAGCACTTAGTACCTGCTAGACAACATGTCATCAATAAACATCTGTTCGCTATTATTACCAATAGCACCAAACATAACTATAAGGCAGAAAGACCCAGGGGCCATAGTTTTTAAGAACTGCTGCTTCCAACCCTCCCCACAATAACCAGAGGATGAGTGGAGGAACTCAGGGACTGAGTCACAATCCGCTATCTCAGTCTTTAGTATCCAAATCACTAGCTGCTGCTCAATTTCCTTTCCCAGGCAGAAAGCCAAATGATAAAGGAGGCTTTGACCTTTTCCCTGAGTTTAGTAAATGAGTTTCCTGAAAGGAAAAATATTATAGATAAAATACTACCCATTCCAAACTCTAAGGCCAACAAAATAATAACCAGTTGAGAGATCTGACCCCTACTCCTGACCAGTGCTACCACTGTCCATTCTCTCCCCTGGTTTCCATCTCTTCAAGTACCTGACCATAGCAAACACACAAAATGCTATGGCTTAGAATGTGGCTTATCCCACAAGGCCCATGTTAGAGGCGCAGTCCACACTGTGGGGTTCTGAAAGGTACAGAACCCTTTTAGAGGCAGGTCTAAGTGGGAAGTCCTTAGGTCATGGGCGACACCATTCTTGGAAAGGATTAAGGTTATTCTGATAGCACCTTTAATTCTCACAGCTAGCTTTCAGAGAATGACGCCTGGACCCACCAAGTTTTCTGACTGTAGTCTTACAACACAGTCTCTGGTGTACATGCTTCCCCAGGCTGTCTGCCATTAGTCTCCCCCTGTCTGACTCTCCATTTGCAGTCTCCAGAGCTTTTCTCTATAAGGTATTTTATCGTACTTTCGATACACAGGAAATATGGAGCCAAAAAACTAAATGTGTTTCTGAGTCAACTCACTCTCTAGTCTTGCCCCGTAATTCTTCCCCAAGAGGTGCTAGCTATGAAGCCATTTTAACAACCGTACACATTTAACGTTAGCGCCACACACCGCCACTTTACATCTTAGATGGCACTATCCTCAAATAACTGACGCCCATACAAAAATACATATGTAAACACTAACCCCACCAGCCATCCCCACATAAGCAAAAGAACAGTTTGCAATGCCCAGGCCTGTGCTCTTCCTACCACACTAAAAGGGCAGTTCAGTTCATTTGTGGTCCTCCCACCTTCCTTGAGGGAGTAGTTTCTAGAGAACTTCTCCTTTAAGGCAGGCACTGTTGAACTTTCCAGGAGATTACTGAATGAGTCATATATTTTCCACAAGCCTCTGGAACTCCTTACCTGTGAAATCAACCTTTCCATACAGGTCTTGAATCTGAGGAGCCAGGCCCAGTTTGAACAGGTACAAACTAGAAGACACCAACGTGCAAAGAGTGAGGCCTCCTGCCAGAGCAGCTGTAGCTCAGGTGGAGGAGTGAGACTGGGAAGAGGAGCACTGAGAAGAGAGGGCCCCTCGCTGGGACTGTTACCCTAGCATGCTCAGGTAAAGGGGTGAGATGAGTTGAGGCACACTGAGGGGGAAGCTTTCCCCCACTCCATGACTGTAACCCTAGAATACTTTGTGTCACGGTGTGAGGCACAGTAGGATGAAAGATTTCCTTTAGACTAGAATTTCAGGTCCCAGTTGTGGCCCAAAGTTAACGCATGCTGAGACACTGATGTTAATATAGCATCATGTTTTATTAACATAATGTTCGCACCAGTGAGCCCTTCGCACCCGTAAGCTTTAGATAATAAGACATCTTAAACAAGCCTCATGAAAATGCCTCAAATAGCGACACTTGCTCCAGTGGAATTCCTATTACTGACACAGAAGCTCAATGTAGGTTAATTAAGAGTTTAAAATAAAGTACATGCTATTTTTTTTTTATTCTCTAAAGAACAAAAATAAATAAGACTCTAGACTCTAAACTCCATGACAGGAAAGACAAATCTCACCAACCCATCTTTCAGCAAGAAGTGTCTGTAAGTCTGTGTTGATCCCAGAGCTCAAGCAGATCAGAATCAATGAATCAAGAGATCAGACGACTTTACAGACAGCGACTCAGCAAGACACAGAACCAAACACACAAAGCATACATATCAGAAGGGGCTGCTGCTCTGGCCTGCCATCTCCCATCAAACCTGAGTTGGATCCCCAGGGTCCATACGGTGGAGGAACTGACTGACTCCTCTAAGTTGTGCCCTGAACTTGACCTGCACGCCCTTGTGCACACACAAAATAATTTTCAAATAAATTTAAAAAAGTACAACAGGGTCATCCACAGTTTTACAGATAATCTATAAACCCCAGTATCTTCCAAAATAACCATACCTGTAGATAAATATTCTAGATAACCTCAGTTAATTCTTACCAGGTTTTAGCAACACTAACTTAAACTCGATTTTCATAACATGAAGGGTTTTATTTTTCTTAATGTAAGGTGAGGGATTATGGGTCTATTTAATACCAAAATCAGTGGGGTTTTATTTCCGTTTGCTTTGTGGTAGTGGTGGGGTCTTACTATGCAGTCCTAGCTGGCCTGGAACTCACTATGTACCTGAGGATGACCTAGAACACTGACCTTTCTAACTCCAAGCTAGCATCAATTCTCAGAAGTGTAAAACCTTAGGGAAAAGGAAGGAAAGCACACAAACACCACAGAGAACACCACTACTGTGCAGTAACTACCTCTGGATTAGAGCCAGTTAAAACTCTGCAAATGGGGAGGTGGTGAGAGCATAGCTCAGGGACAGAGCACTTGCCCACCATGGGCCAGGTGTGGGTATGACTCCCAGCATGAAAGTTGGGTGTGGGCAGGTGGGAGGGGCTCCTGTGTTACTGCTGGCACAAAGGAAGAGGACGTCCCACAGTCACGAAGTGGAAATCTGTCCTGCTGTTGAAGCTCTGAGTAGTTAACAGCCTCTTCCTACATACTATCAAGGGCTGCCAACTTACCTTTCAGGAAAACACCAAACGGGAGGAAAGAATCCATGAATCCCAAGCCAGAACACACTGCTCTAAGTATGTGCTTTCTAAGCACAGACCGCAGGGGAGAACAATGGCGGACTTCCTCCCTTTGTCCTGATCCCATCATTAGGGAAGCACAGTAACTCCTCATCTGTGTTTCAAAGAATTGAGGGCTTGGGACCCAGGCTACATCAGAGGCTACAGAAGGAGCAGAGAAGAATTCTGCCAGCTTAGCCTCCCGTGCTTGCCAAGTTCAGACAACCATTGTAGGCATGGCCTTCACAAGGTTATCACTACAGACAGACCTCAGCACACCAAGCCAATCACAATGCTGAGAACTAATCAGGCTTTGGCTCAGATACGAGCATTTGAATTTGTTATGCTGGTGACACAGAGATGTACTAGCCGCCTGCAGCCACTCTTCTGCATGCTCACAATGATGCTGGTGATACCGAGGTTCCGGTCCCAGTCTCATAAAAGCCCTGAGATGGGGCAGCTCAGTGGCAGAAGGTATGCTTAGCATGTGTGAGGTCCTGCACTTACTTGAGATAAGAGGCTTCTTATAGGCCCACACTATCTATTGAGTAAGCGTGCGCGCGCACACACACACACACACACATATATTCCCACTTCCTTCCCAACCTTCCTCAGTCCTAGAGCCATGAAGCGAATCTGATAACACATTATACCACCATTCCCAACTACCCAAGTGTATATATATCTTCCTCTCCCCCACCTTCCCTTCAGACATAGCACTGTCTCTGGCTAATTCAGTACCCTGCTGGCTCTAGGAAGTGGGAACTTGAAATTGAGTCATTTTCCATGAAATTATGCTTTACCTCCTGTCATATTTGTGTGGTATAAAAAATACTTAATGAATGAACAAGTAACAATGGAAGGTCCCAGATGGCTGACTGGATAAAGAACACCACACCCTGATTAAGATGCAGAGTTCGGAGAGGCACCAGATAAAAAAATGAAAGATTATACCGTGTTTCTGCAACAATAATATATTATGGGAATAAACAAATCCCTTCTCTCTGGTCTCTAGAAAAACACAGGTGTTCGGTAAGGATAATAGCCTTCTATTCCATTTGAAAATCCTGAAGTTGATATAAAACCTCTTTCATTCTTACAGCACAGACAAAAAAATAGACTCTGGACTGAGCAGTTATCCTTAGGTGACTTATTTTGCTAAGAAGCCCTGGTTACCTGAGGGCGTGGATACAGTAGATGCATCTTGGCATGTTCTTCCGGTCATAGATATCTGTGGTTTCTGGGTAAAAAATCTAGGAAGAAATCAAAGAAGTAGACTGATTGGATTGGTCAGAAGAATCTAGAAAAAAATAAAGACCTAAGACAGCCCAGACCTCGGGAAAAGATCTTCCTGAACACAGCAGTAACACTCGTGTTTGCAGGAGTGAGAGAGGGCCCAAAGCTTCTGCAAGGCCACAAATATACTCCAGAAAGTAACAGAAGTTAAGTAGGGTGAAATCAGACAATTGCTATCATGTTCAAAGCCAGACAAACGGGGACTTGGCAAGTATGACAAGGATGGACCCTCGCTTTGTCGCGAAGGATAAAAGCAGAGCTTAGAGAGCGCACAGGAGGCGGGACCCAGGCTATGCTGAGTGAGGAGAAGGACACTGGAGAAGCAGGCTACAAAGTTGTTGTGATGATGGACAGATAAAAGAGGCATTTCAGATGAATGAAGAAAGTTTGGGGAGGGATTGGATGAAGGCTCTAGGGTATTTCCAAACTTCTGAGACTAAGTCAGAAGAAACCTAAGCTCAAGGCTTGCCTGTTTCCATAGTGAGCTGAAGGGCAGCCTGGGCAACTCAAAGAGACTGTCTCAAAATATAAGCCAATGAAGGCTGAGGACACAGCCTGAGGGTAGAACATTTGCCTAGCTGCGATTATGGCCTGGGTTCTTCTCTAATGCCACCACAAAACAAAACAAAACAAAACAACAAAAGACCCCTAGCAACCACAAACATAAACATGCTCTAAATACCATTCAAAGGATGATAAATTGTTATCACTCATAGATGACAACACTGTATGAAAGGCAGGAAGCCACGGGAAACACAGTGTAGTAGTTTACATTACAGAAAAGTGGGAACAGGCGGCATGGGTGCACAGAAAGGCCAGGTAACCATAGCAACTTGGTGCAATGTATTTCCTGACATTTGAGGGACCGATATCTCAAACATGCCCTTGACAGAGAAGAGCACTTCAGCAGCCTGCTCTGAGGAAGTGGAGACGAAAGCTGGCCTCTCACACAGACTGAGATTCGAATTTGAGTCAGCTCAACAGACCCGTGTTTAATGAAGAGCTTAGCACCGTGCTGAGTGCCAGAGACTGAGCGCCAGAGACTGAGCACTGTGTGACACTCCACAGCTCACTTGAATCCTTATTCTTTTTCAGTTACAAAACCCTGGGCTCCACAGGGAAGTCTAAGAGAATCAAAACCACCACCTAATCCCATCACAGCAATGAAAAGTATTTCCTTACCAAGGAAAAAAGAACACATATAAAGAAAAATTCTTTTCCTGAGTCAAACTGAAAAGAATCTGTATCATTAAGGAGGAGCAGGCAAAAATTAGCCAGCATGGCGTTATGTACCTATAAACCCAGTACTCTGGAAGTTGAGGCAGGAACATTTTGAGTTCCAAGGCAGCCTAGAGTACAGCTTGAGCTGCTATCTCAAACACAACAAAGAGAAGAGTAAAGGGAGGAAAGAGAAATATAAGGAAGGGCAGAGGAAGGACAGACAGATCATTGAGTGCTTTATAGACTAACTTTGCAGGTTAAACGAGGGCCATTATGCCAAGACCAGCAGTAGCACGGACCCCGCAGGTTACCTTAGGCAATCCGATTTCATCCATGGCATTCAGCCACTGAATCACATTATCCGTGTGTCTGAAGTGGAGGCCGGTAGCCTGAAAGAAAGCACAAGAGCGTTGCGTGCTGTTGGCAAGTGCTACGTAAAAACTCTTGTGAACTGCTACACCATCCCATCCCTTAAACGTCATTACACTTCCCACCTCAGTACCGAGAAGCTGCACTCTGCCTTCCTCTCACTAAGAAACTGCCTGGAGAACCTCCCTCAGCAGTGTGCTTTACAGTGTGGTCTCTGGAATCACATTGTCCGAGACTCAGTTCTCGGGCTTGGATAGCTACTGGTGACAGTGAGCACGTCATCCAGCCTTGCAGTCTGAGACACTCCATCTACTAGTGATGTTGTACATGTGCCATGAGCCTGATGAGACAGTGCACACATAAACCATGTAGGTTAGTGGGGGGTTGGGGGGAGTGTTGCGCAGATAACCAGAAATGACCAAAAGGATACAACCTAGCAGTCAGGGTTTTCGTCTGCAAATGCCCATCTGCTTGTTTTTAAATCAGTGCTGGGTATTAAACCCAGGGGCTCACACATGCTAGTCAAGAGCTCTACCCTCTGAGTTAGAGCCCCTGTGTCTATTAGTTTGGGGCAAGATCAATTTACAAAGAGATAAAGGGATATACACATTTTTCCTTGTTTGTTTGTTTTTTGTTTTTCAGACAGGGTATATAGCCCTGGCTGTCCTGGAACTCTCTTTGTAGACCAGGCTGGCCTCAAACTCAGAGATCCACCTGCCTCTGCTATCCGAGTGCTGAGATCAAAGGCTTGTGTCACCATGCCCATCTCCAAAGGGATATATGGGGAGATATACATATATGACTTTTATAGAAATCACTGCAGCAAATTATTTTTTAAAAATTAATATAAGGTTGTAGAAGGAGGCAGAAGAAGAATTGTCACAAGTTCCCATCAGCCAGGGTTCCAAAGACAAGAAAACCTCTCTCTGCATTAGTGTGCTACTGTGCTATCCACAGAACAGCTCCAGTGCTGGGTGTGGTGGTGCACACCTTTGACCCCAGCACTCAGGAGGCAGAGGCAAGCAGCTCTCTGTGAGCTCCTGGGCAACTTGATCTACAAACAAGCCAGACCCTGTCTTGGGAAATGGCAGAGCAGGGAATAGCTCTAAAGATGTCTTTATCATAATTGTTTATTTAGAATTAAAAATATTAAAAGTCTCTTTCCCATTTTATCTTGAACTCCTCCAATATTGCAGGAGGAACTTTCCCAAAGTCACCATAGCTACACTTCAGTGCCTGGTTCCCTGTGACAATGGTAATTCCCCTAGGCACTTCCTCTACTTTCTAAGAATGAAAAAATAAATCATCCGGGGCTGAGAAATTCTAGGTAAATTGCCCAGTCAGAAGCATGCCACCAGAACCTCTCAGCTGACACCATTCCCCACAGTACTCACTCTGTGCTACTCCCTGTTACCCTGGGCTTCTTAAGGCCTGTGCTTTATATGGAACAAGCACTCACCTTGCACGAATTTCTCCATAGATGCCACACAGAACACAGAACTCACCTTGTATCTGGTCTGCTCTCGATCATAGATTTTCTTCAGGGACACAACTTTGGGAGAGAAGAAGTTCCCTAGCTTGGCAAGGTAGACTCCATTCCTAAGGCCCTCCTCCAGCTCTGTGGTGGGAGGCAGGTCCTCCCCTAGGCATGCTTCCATCCACCTGCACGAGAGAAAATGATGGTCAGAAATCCTTTGTGGATTTTAATTTCTAATCTCCTGAACCAAATGTAAGAACACTCTCGGAATGCATTCCACAAAGACAGGCTTCCCAGCTGTGGCTGGGATCTTAAGTTGAGGATGAAAGCCACCTTCTTCATCAGTATGGGACTGCTCCATGAACCTCAAATTCTGCCTCTAAGTCCTTGTTACCACTTAGCAAGACTGGGAAGACCCATCTGCAACTGAAGCCACCATCTCAGCCACTTACTGTCTGTCACTGGTAGCTTTCTCAGGGCGATGACCTTCTAGGCTCAGGCACTAAGGTTGTTTTTAACAGTCAATCAGCTAAAACACTGAAGGAGGAAACTCCCAAGGAAAAAGTAAATAACAAGCTTTCTCTTAAATAAAAGAGTTCCCCTTTCCCCTCCCCCCATTTTTGAATAATGAATTACTTTTAAGTGGCTTCTTGGAGACAGGAAAGACATGGCTACATATAAAGGGAAATGGAAACCTTTCCACTGAATGCTGATCTCAAGAGTTCAGGGAGTGGAAGCCAAGCACAAATTTCTAACAGAAATGCAAGTAACTAAAATTGTTAACAGTAATGATTTTTAAATCTTTTCACTTTTTTTTTTTTTTTTTTTTGGTTTTTCGAGACAGGGTTTCTCTGTATAGCCCTGGCTGTCCTGGAGCTCACTCTGTAGACCAGGCTGGCCTCGAACTCAGAAATCCGCCTGCCTCTGCCTCCCAAGTGCTGGGATTAAAGGCGTGCGCCACCACTGCCCGGCTTCTTTTCACTTTTTTTAACATTTAAAATAAATACGTATGTAAGTAAATGTGTGCATGTTTGTGCGAGTGTGCACCTGTGCATGCGTGTGTGTGCATGTGTGTACACCTGTATATGCATTTGTATGAGTGTCTGTGTGTACACACGTGTGTGTGTGTGTGTGCATGTCTGTGCATGTGTGCGTGTGTAAACAGCACACACCATGGCGCATGAGTGGACGTCAGGAGTCAGCTTGCTGGCGTCTGTTCTCTCCTTCCACCGCGTGCCCCCACCACCACCCTGGATGGAACCTTCTGCCAGTCTTTTGAATCTCCAAGGGAAGCTAGTGAGTGCACATTCCAAACGTTCATATATTTAAATTCTACATATAACCTCGGAACTTTCATTGACTTTACGAACCTGGAGCAAGAACTCAGCTTAAAATTATTCCACTCAAGTTATACAGGCTAGCATTATCCTCATACTCTTCTCTATACTGGGAAAAAAAAAAATCCAAACATCAAATGCTGCTTGATCTGCTGGACCAAAGTCAGAAATGTGTGAAAAACTAAGTGAAAAAGGTCACAGTACAGCAAGTGAAAGTAAAAATAAGCTTTATAAAGTGTGTCAGCACAAAATGTTTATTTTGTTGTTTTGGTTGGAGGTTTTTGTTTTGTTGGAGTCTAGGGTCCTGCTAGCTTCAATTCTTGAGCTCAAGCAATCCTCCTGCCTCAGCCACCAGAGTACTCGAGACTGTAGGAACCCACTGTGACTGTACCCATAGACGTTTACATTAAGAACCAAAGGGGTGTAAGGATGTAGTTCAATGGTATAGCACTTACCTAGTAGGCTCTAGGTGCTAAGTTCAATGCCCAGTACCTCCTCAACACTAAAAATCAAGACAGTTTTATTTTCAAATCAAGCCTCTTTTAGCATAGCACGTACTGTCTGACGTACAGTAGGCGGTAAGTAAAGGCTGGAGGACACCTGGATAGACCAGAGACCTTCTGCTTGACAACAACCTTTTCTTCTGACTTTCCTTTCAATGGTCATAATAAAGAAAAGAATCAAGTTCTCCAGAATTGTAACAGTAACTAAATTAGCCACCAATCTGCCAGGGCTACAAAATTCAAACTCTCTCTTCACTGGAGCCTAAGAAAACGGTCTGGGAAAGAATGGCAGCTGCTGGGATGGAAAGAGCTGTTGCCAAAGCACATGCCACATTATTTTCTTCCTAATAGTTTACTTCTAAAAAGAAAATGGATGGCCAGTTGTGTTGGCACACGCCTCTGATCCCAAACTTGGGAAGCAGAGGCAGGTGGATCTCTGTGAGTTCAAAGACAGCCTGGTCTACATAGTGAGTTCCAGGACAGCCAAGGCTATGTAGAGAGATCCTGTCTCAGAAACCAAATAGGGTTGGGGAATGGAGGGTGACTAAGATCGTTCTGACAAACAGCTGCTGGCAACCCCAGCTCTCAGGGGACCTTCTAACTAGGGTTCTCATTAACAGGAACAAGCCTCATGACAACAGCTGAAGTCAAAAGCAGCACACAATAGACAAGGAAAAAAATATTTATTCTTAGCTTGATACGACGTCAATCTATAGGACAGTGGTGGATAATAGCATAGTGGACTCATTTGCCCAAGTCAGAGACAGTTCCCTTAGGTGATTAGATCTTCCTCCTCTCTGAAGTTACTAGACCAAATTGAAAATAAAAGACAGGACTGACTTAGGTGATCTCCTCTAATCTTTTGTCTTTGCCCTCCGTGGTCCAATAGCCAAAAACCAGTCCTGATTAATGCCTACACTTACAAGTTTCCTGCAGTAAGGTAGGATCCTAGACACAGCACCCAAAAACCAGAGCTAGAAAAGCCACCTGTGATTTAGTGACTGGACGAGCAGAGGCAGAAGCCAGAAGAAAGAGAAAAACGCAGGCACTGCTTCCAACCACCGCATGTTTGACAGCCACTGCATGTCCGCTCACCTCTGAGTCAGCTATTCCTCAATGGTTTGTTTCTGAGAATAAAATAAATCAGATTTGGGAAAAGCGGGGTTCTGGGCATCTTAGTTTGCTTTCTATTGCTGTGATAAAATATAATCAAAAGCAACTTGGGGAGGGAGGTTTTATCCCACCACCACTGAGAGAAGTCAGGGCAAGAACTCAGAACAGGAACCTGGAAACAGGAAGTAGGGCACAGGCCATCTAGGAGTGCTGTTTACTGGTGTGCTCCTTATGGCTTGCTTGCCCTGTTTTCTTATAGCACCTAGGACCACCAGCCCAAGGGTGACATCACTCACAGTGAGCTAAGCCCTCTCACACTAACCGTCAACCAAGAAAATGTACCACAGGCTTGCCCATAGACTAATCTGGTGGGGGCAGTTTCTCAATTCAGGTTCTCTCTTCCAAAATGACTATAACTCGTGTCAAGCTGACATAAAACCAGGCAGCTTACTGTTTAGTACAATTTTGAATGTTAATTTTAAGTACAGTGCCTTGATGTTATGACTGACTGGTTGATTGATTGGTTGATTGACTGAACAACAGAATTGATTGACTGACTGACTGACTGACTGACTGACCAACAGAATCAGACTGGCCTCAAACACAGGACCTCCCTGCCTCTGCTTCTGATGCAGTGCGGCCACAAGCGTACAGCACCAGACCTTGCTATGCTATTTTAACTTTTATGTTCAACCTCTGGACTCTAATTCTAAAAACAGCAAATCCCCCATCAGTCCTCTACAGCGCACATGAAATCCCTTCTTCCGCCATTACACCAGAGGCTTAAAGTCTGAGAGCCCTGAGTGTGCGTTAGCATAGAGCCCTTTGACTTTGTTCCTTGGGTTGTCTGGTTTTGAACATAGAATAAACATTAAGAAATATCATTCAACATTTTTCAAAACTGTGTGACTATTCTCCATGTTGTTATGTACTTTCCAAAGACTTTTAAGTTAAATAAAGATTCCACCAAGGGGCTGGTCACGTTTATTAGCATTTATGTTTATAAATGTATAAACATTTCTAACCATTAAGCAAGAATATCTCCGTGCACAGTGTTAGAATTGATTCTGAGGGGGAGAACTTTAGGAAGATAGAATACATACTCAGAACGTGCCAAGCCCAGGGTTTAATCCCCAGCAAAACCAAAAAGATGTTTTAAACATTGAAATGGGAGATAGCTTTTAAATTTTTGTTGTTGATGATGATGTTTTTATTTTTCGAGACAGGGTTCATCTGTATAGCCCTGGTTGTCCTGGAACTCTGTGAGACCAGGCTGGGCTCAAACTCACAGAGATCTGACTGCCTCCGTCTCCTAAGAACTGGGATTAAAGATCTGTACCACCACTGCCCGGCTTTCAGTTGTTCTATGTGCAGGAGTCTTTTACCTGCTTGTATGTATGGGCACCATGTATGTGGCGGGTACCCACAGAGAGCAGAAGAAGGCATGGGATAGACATCTGGAACTAGGGTTACAGGTGGTATGTATGGGCACCATGTGTGTGGCGGGTACCCACAGAGAGCAGAAGATGGCATGGGATAGACATCTGGAACTAGGGTTACAGGTGGTTGTTAACTGAACCACGGCTCTTTGTAAGAGTAGCAACTGCTCTTAACCACTGAGCCATTTCTCCTGCCCTCACATACATAAACATTTATAGTATTTTTGATTGCCCAAGAGGCTGCTCTAAGATTGTGCCTTATTTACGCAATCCCTCATTTACAAATTATGAATGACTTATCCAAGTTCACTGCTACTAAGTGGCAAAGCTAAACCAACTCTTAGTTTGGAACTCTTCTCAAGGGCACCACCGTTGCTGTTGCCTGGGCCCCACCTGTGTCTAAACAAAGGGAAGTGTCAGAAATCCCGAGCAGGGGGAAGAAGGCTGCTCCGTGGCCTGTCTCCTTAGCACTGTTTTAGACAGTTTAGCTCAACAGTAGAGACGCCAATAATTCTCAACTCAGATACAAAACTCTCTTATAAAATATAGTAGTTAAGGCTGGCAAGATGGCAGAGTGGACGAAGGCACTTTGCCACCAAACCTGACTGACAACCTCTGTTTGATCCCCAGGACTTGTGACACATGCACCCTTCTCCCAAATAAATACATGAATATATATATATGCAATATTATTTTTAGTTTAGGCATTTTAATTTGTCCTTATGAATACATTTAAGATACATTTAAAGTTAGTATATGTGGCCCAGCAGTTGAGTGTTTGCATAGCAGGCTT